ATAATTGGTTGTGATAAGGCTATGCGAAGAAAAGTTTTGTTTCGAGGACTTTAGGGTTTCATAATTGTTGTGAAATTGAATGGAAATGTCAGCTCTACTCATATCATTGTGGGAAAATTCTACTACCAGTCCTTGATCACCTTAAACGAAATAGGGTGATTAGGTCTATAAAAAAACTGGTGTCCAAAGAATCCTTAATCGACTGATGTTGGAGTGGCTTTCATTTCATTTGAAGAAGCGAGTGCAAGAGATGAGTAAGTTGGACTCACCTAAAACCGAAAGAAATCGCATTGGAGCCTATCCGGTGACGTTTGCGAGCATAGTCTAGGGCCAATTCCAATTATTGGACCCAAAAACCTTTAAACTTAGAAATGACTCGCCCAGGACACTAGACAGGCTGGCCTGATGTCAAACGTTAGGCTAGATATGGAGACTATACCAACAAACGGAAGAGTAAGGAATTCATATAAATCAACAAAGCAGCCAACATTCTAAAATGAAAGGAATGAGTATAGGAAGTTAAGCGGAAACTACCTGTGGGTGATGGGTATGATTAAAATGAGAGGGAACAAGATGTAACGGCGATCAGCTCGAATAAATTTGACTCTCAAAATCACACAATTTAAAAGCATTGCATGCATACAACACACATGCATTCGGACGAAATTACATGTTTCAACATTGCAAGCTCAACAATTAAATGACCAAGATAAGGATTCAGATGAGTGATGACATTCATTCCGACCCACGTGTCATCTGTAACTTCTCCAGCATTGAGCAAGCATGCAGAAAAAGCATAGGATATTTTTCGTCTTGGACGATATTTTGTTAAAGGTGATGAAGGACAGGTAGTTGGATTTTCACACAATGGCAAGTAGATCTAATGTTTCTATTGAATCTCACATTCTATTGCTTTTCTAAAATGTATTCTCATCCAGAGTGGACTGCAGTTTCGACTTCGACTGGGTATTGTCAGCAGCCCTGGCGGGACTCGAACCAGGACAGTACAGCTTATAACGTGTATTCACCCCATTTCTTTTAAGGCGATGAAAAACTGGTAGTCGAATTTTCCTACAACGATCTGAGTAAGCTGACGTTTCCATTGAATTTCATATATCCTTAATTGACCAAAAGTTGTTCTCATCCGACGTGGACTGCAGCTTCGACCTTGCATACGCCTTATCAACCATGACAGTGCAGCATGTGAGCTTGAAACGTTAACCGGCCAGCCACATTGCCACAAGTGTGAATTTCAAGGAAGGCCAGGTTCTTTCCATATCACATTCTTTGATGGGATTATAAATGAAGCAAATGTATTTTTAATTGAAGATATGAAACCAATGATTGTGGGGCCTTTTGTATGGTCGTGGTCTCCTTTCGTGAATAGAAGTTGTTTGACCCCGTTTTCAGAACTTGGTCATATTGGCAGGAAGACCGAGAGGAACGGACCTTGTTCGGACTTCCAGGTCGAATCTGCAGTACGCCCTGGATGAAAACACATTTTGACAAAGCAAGTCTGTTAAATTCAATGGAAACGTCATTGTGGGAAAATTCTACTGCCAGACCTTCATCAAAGAAATAAGGTGAATAAATCTTATATTTGGTACAGCAATCGACGACGGATCTCCTATGCTCTGCCTAAATATTTGCTTAATGATCACGTTAACTGGCTGCTGATGACAGGTGAAGTGGCTGTAGAAGAAACAGGAAACAGATGCAATTGTGACCGAACTGCTGCATTCTACTCTAAAACATGTTTACCTTTGATCCGGCAAGGTTACCGCATGTGATTGCGTTCCATTGCACGTGTACTGTGTGGGTGGATTGTTCTTTAAATTCGTGAGATTTGAGTCAAAACCAGATTCATTTTGCTTGATGAAACTACTCATACCTTCCCATTTCTCTCTGATCCTATCCAACAGCCACAAGTAGTTTCCACTTAAAAGCCTATACTGACTCTTTCTATTTAGGATGTTGACTGTTTGTATATACATATCGCCTCCATAATCTTTCGCTTACAGAGAGAGGATACATATCTAGCTAAGTGTTTGACGTTATACCGATAAATCTGCTGTCCTGTGCGAGCCATGTGTTTGGCCGATTCCGATTTTTGGACCAGCAGACCCCTGCAAACTGGTTTGTGTTTAGACAACCTCTTGCGCATGGTTATACAGGTCTCTCTTACATATGACCTACCGCATGAACACAAAATCTTCCAACAGCCAGATTGGAAGAGGGTCAAAATATTCTCAAAAAGAAGGAATTACCAAGGAAAGGCCATTTTCTCTTTATAAATAGTCCTGCTGTCCAATCTCTGTCATTTGCACATCTTCTCTTAAAGATTACAAGATGACAGCATAAGAATTCTGGTAGAGTGATCTAACTTTCATCTAGCCCCAAATATTTATTTTATTTTACCCTATTTGACACAATTTTAAAACAATTGTCAACCAGTACTCATGGATAATTATTGTCATCTATAATTCTGCTTAGTCTTCGCAACTCCTGGTCCCGATGCTTAACATCTGTCAGGCGCAGATCCTACGTTAACTTCATAAGCGTGGTTGGAAACAAAATTTAAAAAGACACCTGCATTTGTAGATTTCCTATACACATCTCGGCGTCATCTGGTTCCCTCTTTGCTAACTAGGACATATAGAAAAGATAAAGCACCTTCCTTTTCTAACTCGGTGGTGAATTTCATCTTCCCATCTTTCCTATACATCAAACCAAGGAAATTCTCCAGAATTTCTTTGCCATTCTGCCAAACGGTTTTCCTTTCGCTATAGTGTTGGTTTGATCTCGTTTGGCAACTAGGTCGCAGCAACAGGAGGACCTTATATGGGAATGTACCAAATCAACGGTTCGATGCTGGAAATCATCATGAATACTACGATATAGGTATGTTGCTCAAGGTCTCCATGTCACTGAGACCACGTTGCCGTGACTGCAGTCAAACCAAGCACTATCATGATTCGAGTTCCGTCGAGGGTGTTAATAAGACCTAGGCGAGGTCGAAATCGCAGTTCAACCTGGATAAAAATACCTGTTGAGAAAGCAAGGCTATGTGAAGTTCAATAGGAACATGATGTCTACTCATATCATTGTGGGGAAATTAAATAGCATGTCCTTTATCACCGTAAACGAAATATTGTCTCGTAAACCTACTCGAAGTGAAAAATAAGAAACAGATTGTCGAAGCAGAATGTGATAGAAGATGAATGATATAGTTTGCGAGCAGAGTGATCAAGTGGGATAAACAAAAGGGGTAGTCGAGTGACTGAGTCTCCCAGTCACCCCTCCCTCCATTCAACTAAAAAGGGGGCATCTATGGAGCAACTCGGAATATTTTTAGCATGAAGCCTCCACATTTCATAATGGGAAAATTCAACTATCATTCTTTAAATCGAGCTAAGCAACCTAGGATGACTAAGCTCTAATTCACGAGTTAGTGATAAACTCCAATACCACTTTGTAGAATGCAACGACAAATGCATGTTTGTTTAATCAACAATCCCAATGAAAGTGTAAAATGATGGGGGCTTGGCTTGCCTGTATGTCACGTCTGCCCTATGACCAAATGGCATCTGTAGCTGTGTAGTGGAGTGATAACGCCGAAAATTACTCATGGCCCAAAATCGAACTCCGTGGGGATTGTTGACGAGAAATATGAGAAAACGAAACTTGATGAGACTTTTGCGAGGCAAAGCTAATTGAAATTGGATGTAGGAAAACTCAAACTAAATCACTCTAGGAGGCATAGAGTGAATAAGCTCTTATTTAAGAATTACAGTCTCGAAAATAACCTTGCATCGCGGGTTAAATTGAGATAGGCAATGTTCAGTTTGAGCCTATACTTTGCGAAACAGGTTTTCCCCACAAGAAATGGTTATATTAACTAGAAGCGTCTTAGATTAAATTCCAACTCAAAATGGACAGATTATAATTGTAAAGGAATAGGAGTAAGATGTGAGGATATGAAATAGGTGAATATATCATGACGTTAAGATACAACACAAAAATTCGGCGAAAAGTTGGTCGACGATGAAAGACCTGGAATTGTAGCAAAACCGCAGTCAGAAGATGCCTCTAACAAAACGATTGAATTGCGAAACGAAGTCAGGCCAGTAGCATATTTAAACACACTCACAAATACACGATGCATTAGCAAGAAGGAAAGTAATGTAAAAGTGAATTTTCAATTAGGCAGTCTGGAAAGGTTTCCGCAGTCAGTTGATGAGAAAATGTAATTTTTTTGTGAGATGATAATTACAATACGACGACATAACCTTGCCAATTAATTATTTCTTTATTATCACCAAAGATGCTTGAAAAATCGTCCATCCTATCGGAAATCTGCTCGCCGATAACCGCAAACTGGCAAAACTCAATCACATATTTAACAAAAGCTTAGGCATATTGTGTTAACGTGCACTTTTAAATACCAAGATGAGAAAATAAAATATTTAATGGATTAAGAGGTCAAAATAGTAAGCTCATACTTATTGGAGAGACCAAAGCTCCTCTGTTCTGCGAGCAGTGGGGAGGAGGAATTGCCTATAAACAGCCTCCCAGTGTGCAGGATGCGCTCTGATGTCTCAGAAATGGAACTGGGTCTAGTAATCAGGGATTCTTCGCCGTTGCCCGTTCGACCTTTAGGAGTGGCGTGAAAGCCAGAGGCAGTGGAAAGAGTGAGGCTGTCGATGACGTTAGTTGTCACCGAGATTGTGGCAGAAGAAGTGGCTAATGTAGAGGCAGTCTGATAACAAGAAGATGGGCTGGGAGCATGTCGAATGAGGTCTCGCGTAGCCTTTTCAGCTTGCCTTACAGAGGACTGGCAAGTGGCCAGCCTGGCAAAGAAACGAATTATTTGGAGCGGGATACATTTAAGTCAAAAAATAAATTAAATTTGATAAAAACTAAGTTTGGTGAAATTCCAACAAATTATATAGATATTAAAGCACTATAAATTAAGTATAATGAAGAATGAAGACTACATCCGAGTGATCGTTAAAATATATACAGAGGGGATGATGGTCGTCATCGAACCTTGGTGGCCGTGAAAAGACGTTACTTTTGCTGTCCCAATTACTTTGAGCAATCACTGCTGCCTTCGTACATATGCGAACACATACAGGCACATTCACATGATCCGACTGAAACTAACCAAGTCACTTTATATCTCATTAAAAAGGTCAGATATAGAGTATATATACAGTTTCTTAGAGATGAGCCTAAATTTGATTATAAATATGATACCTTGTTCTAATGATGGTCGTCATACGACAGACAAATGTTTAGCACGTTTTCACCGGAATCGAAGAAGATTAACTCGAAAAAGGTGTCAAAAAGAATGTTTCGGTGAAGCCAAACGACGGCTGATCAAAAGGAATCCGCGGTCGTCTTCTGATGGGATTGATCTT